CACACACACACTCAAACACATCTGAGGACACAGAACACAAACAGCCCTTTGAAAAAGTGAGGACCGTATCTAAAGTGGTCCTCACAAAGGTATGAGTACAGGAACACACACACAGATTTGGACCTGGACCTGGTCTTGGAGCCAGTGGATGTTTGTGGGTTGCAGCAGCAGTGGTGGTGTGGAGCTGCAGTATGGAGGCGTCACCTCAGCGTTATGAAACAGATTCTGGTCATGAGTCACTTCCACCAGAGCTGGAAGACGTAATCCAGATGATTTGGCTTCATTTTAGGGATCCGTCACAGAGACACCCTCTGGTGGTGAATCAGAGGACAGCAGATCCTCATGGAAATAAAAAACTAGCTTAAAGTGCTTTTCCACCAAGCTGTGATGTAAAACAGATGAGTGACGAAGGATTTTCTACGTGTTATAAAACTACTAAACAAGCTACAGACAAATCTGCAGTATGGTGAACTAGAGGGACTCCCTCTGCTGGACAGGTATGGTAACTGTTGCTGAATCTGCACCTGGGGCACTGTCACATATACGTGAATGTGTCAGCAAACCTTTGCCTCCTGTTCACCTCCAATCTGTGTGAGAGAGGAGGCAAATAAAACACTTCCTGTGGTGAGACTAAACACAACATGTCACCGTGTGGAGTTCAACTGAGGTGAACTTTGACCCCCGATGTTCTCTTCACATTCAAGTGTGACTGAAGACCAGAGGAGACAAGTTTATATTGTTATTATTATTATTGTTATTTGTACTGAATCACTTCCTGTATGTAGGATTTATTTTCTTGCCTTTGATGATTTGTTGTTTTGTTTTTATTTGTCATCCTTGTTGTTTTGAAAGGTGCAATATAAATAAAGTTAATATTATTATTTCAAGGACTGTGTGTCAGCACTAACATTTATTTAATTAAAAATCATTAGCGTGTGCGTGAAGTTGGTTTTAGTCATTTGGTTTTGACTTTGAAGTTGACGGCAGGTGGAGCCTGGTCTGGTCTGAGCTGAGATAAAAGCCTCCTGATTGGTTTAACGTGCTGTGATCTTACATCTGAGAAGAGTTGACCAAGCCAGTCTCACATTCAAAGGCAAGCAGACGCAACAGGAAGCGTCATCAGAGCAGAGACAGCATTGTGACGTTAATGAGGTTAACAGGAAGTGATGATCATCATCACACACCTGTCTGTCACAAGGAGGAGGCAGCTAATTGGTCCAGACTCAGCATCTTCTGTCGGCCTGAAAGACGTCTCTTCACACATGTAATGACTTTCTACACAGTTCTGTCTGTCTTTGTCTGTCTGTCTCTCTGTCTCTGTCGATATCTGTCTGTTTGTATCTGGTCCTAACACAATGCATGATGGTTAACATTTTTGTCAGACTTCATCCAACTCTTCAAAACATCACCAGGTCACGTGACTTTTCAACACAGCGGGAGCGAGTCAGCTGCAGTCAGACAGATGTTCTCAAGCTGCAGCACCTCTGTGACATCACAACTCTGCTCTGATTGGCTGAAGGCTTCAATGACACAATATGACAGCTCCGTATATCCATAAACGTACAGTGTTCAACTCTGAAGTGTCACATTTATTTTTTTTAATGTGGCGATTAATCATTTCTCTCGAGAGACGATGTGATGGACTTCAGACAGTCCGTCTGTGTTTACACATGGTCACTTTAAACAAAGTTCTCAGTTAACTTCGTGTAAAAACAGGAATTTAAAAAAACCTCTGTTTCATCTGAAATGAAAAAACAAACAACTGATCTGGAGGTTTTTTGTTTTTACTGCATATTAAGCCAAAGCGTCTCCATCGCCCCCTAGTGTCTGGCTGCAGTATAAACCCTCCTCCATGTTAGCAGATGGACATGAACCAAACAAAAAAAATCAAAGTAGAAGTTAAATAAATGTTTGTCAAAGATGTTTCTGTCATTTCAGTTCGTTCTTATCTCACTGAT